ATGTGTGATTAGTGACCGTTTGCTTTTCTTGCTGGGACCAGACAGGGGATCAGTCTATATATGGTTTCCTCTCTGGTAACGGCCAACCCCCATTATACTTTTGGGGTGTAAAGTGGTTGAAATTTGTTTGGTGGGTCTGTTTTAAACAAAGTTTGAAGAGGGGCTTTGCAGTGTTGGATGGATTGCCTTTGGCAGCCCTCTAAAGTGGGAAAAATAGAGACAAACCTGTTTTGTTTTTTTAAATTTTTATTTTAGGAAATGTCAGATGTAAGACCCAGCTCTTCCTGAGAGTGTGCCTCTCCCCTGGCAGGTTCCCCCCGTGGGTTCTCCGCTAGGTGTGGACGGGCTCCCCCTCGCCACGGCCCCCATGGATACTGGCAGCTGGAGTGGCAGTGAGAGCCCAGCTGAAGACACAGAGCTCCCGGGCGAGCCCGGGGACAAGCCTGGGGACAACGATGCAGAGGGCGTGTGGAGCCCCGACATTGAACAGAGCTTCCAGGAGGCGCTGGCCATCTACCCACCCTGCGGCCGGCGCAAGATCATTCTCTCCGATGAGGGCAAGATGTATGGTGAGAGCGCCCCCTGGGGGCAGGGCACTATGCTGATACCAGATGACAAATTGCACATGGGTGAGCGTCCCATTCCTAAAGCAGGGTGGTGAATGTGTGTTATACCCCCTGCACCTGGTTCTTGGGGGTGTGTGGGGTTGAGGAGGACGTTCTGTACCACAGAGCCGTAGGTTTAATCTCTCAAGGACGGGCTGCGCACACACACACAGACCTGTACTCGTATCTTTGTGGGGACCGTCCATTCATTTCTGTGGGCAAAACCCTAAACCCAACAATGATGACCTTAACCCCTACCCAGCCCTAAGCTTAACCATAAGTAGCCAAACAAAAGACTTTTTTTTTGGCATTTTTAGTTTTTCGATTGCAGTCACAGATTTTTATAAAATTGAAAACGTCAAAATAACACGATTTTATCACATTGCGGGAACATCTGGTTCCCACAATGTAAAGTATATCTGATGCGCGCACACACACACACACACACACACACACACACCCCTCACCATGTAATGACTTCCTTTCACACACATTAGGGCTTCCCCGTTGTGGCCAGTGACCTGCCATGCACACTCAATGCCCTTAATGCCCTTAATGCCCCTGCACAGGTACTACCTGACTCCTTCCTTCACCCTGTACAAGATCCTGGCATCTGCAGGAAACAGCAGAGAGAACAGATGGTGGAGCAGCTCCCCCCCCCCCCCCCCCC